TTACTTCCTCCACAGAATAATTAATCTCGTCATTAAAAAAAATGCCAAATAAAACAGTATCTTAAAGTATACAAAGTCACTGTGCTGTGCTGTTTAAAAATAACTGTCTTATAAATAACTACGTATTTTTTCTTTTATGAAGCAAAGTCCTGTAAAGTTTAAGAAGGCTTTTACAATTCATTTTCTAAATTGTAACATGTCAAGAGTCTAAAGTGTTATGTTCATTAAGCCTAATTTATGCCTCTCGAAGTGTGTTCAATTAGCAATAAACCTTTTCAAGAAACAGAAATTATAACCCTTTACCACTAATGTTTCATTAAGTTAGTTGTCTGTGTCTTTAATGCATGAAAAAAGTTCTATTGAAGAGGGAGGTGTAGCTTCCCATGTATAGCCTGAACATGGAAATATAATACTAATAATTAAAAATCTCTTACTCTTGAGGGAGGTGTAGCTTCCCATATATAGCCTGAACACAGAAATATAATATTGATAATTAAAAATCTCTGACTCTTGAAGACGGAGGGGCCAGGAGGTTCTTTTCTAAGGAAAATGCCTAACAGCTGCCTTGTTTCCCATTGTTACTGGCACGGTGCAATTTTATACTTGTTATCCAGGCTAAGTAGTAAACATCCCTCTTTTGCCCTCCAAAGCAACTTGGATTTACAAAACTCTCTGGTCATTTGAATTCTGCCATCATTGCTCTGTTCACCCACACGGGCCACTCTCCTTAACTGGACCTATATTCTCCAGATGCCCCCTGGGGGAAAAATCACCCTCTATATTCCCACTTACATCTTCCTCACAGAGCTTTCTTTGAACTAAAATTTCGCTAAGCTACACATTAAATTTCATTTCAATGATAATTCCTCTACATTATAGATATGTATATGTCTGTCTTCTTTGAGGATATAACGAGTCCAGAGCAGAGGCCTCTGACAGCCTAGCATTCAACATGGGCTATGTCGGAGCTCTGACTAAATAAACACACTTTCCATATACCCTATGACATATAGTTTAAGGGTTAGGTGTTTGTATTCTTGGAACACTAATCCTGTAATAGATTCTGACACCTTATTTTAATATAATTTACTTTAATCATAAAAGGAATTCTGAGCATAACTCTTCCCATATTCAATATAATAATCTGTGTGTATCTTCTTAAATAAGTTTTAAGGTGTATATTATTATATATGATCAAGAATATTACCTATAATGAGTAGATCTGCTTTAAAAGCTAAAATAAATTTACACATTATACTCAGATGAATGTGACAAACATATCAATCAGGTGTTTTCAAATTAATAAGGAAACATAAATAACATTTCATTTAAACTAAATGCATGTTTTTATCTTATCTAGTTTAAAATGAAGATATGTTGTATTTGGAATATCCAATGTCAATTAAACTAAAATATATGAACATATTTGAAAATATTTCTCCTTCATTCAAAATTGTTGCTTCTTTTGGGAAGTTACAGTCGCTTTCAAATACTGTGTGTACAATAAGTATGTGGCAATGAGTCAATTGAAACTGCTCAGGACTTGAAGGAATATGTATATATGCATATACTCATGTGTTGACACACAGATATATACATATATACAGATACGCATATATACATATACATATAGATATATATACAGACAGAGAAATATATGCACAGGTATATGTATATACATATACACACAGATATATACAGATATACATATATATACAAAGATGTATACATATACATATGCACAGATATATACATATACAGACATATATGGATATATACATGTACACATGTTTATATACATTTACACACAGATATATGTGTGTATATAAATATGCATATATATACATACATACATATATATGGAAATAGAATGCTGATAGTTAAATACATATTTCTTTGCCTTCACATTTTGTTAATTATTCTTTTTTGTGTATTCATATATGTGTGTACACACACAAGCACATGCACATTACACACGTAGTACCCATTGGAACCCATGTAGAAAGGTCAGAATTTTCAGGATCTGGTTTTTTCCTTCCACATGTGGGTCCTGGGAATTAAACATAAGTTGCTAGGATTGGCAGCAGATGCCTTTACCCAATGAGCCATCTCACAAGCCCCAGATTTGAAAAACAAAAACAATCACACCCAATATTCAACTTAGTTTGGTTTTGACACTTAACAATGAAAAACACTGGAGGATAATACAAACTATAAATGCATTTTTACAGGTTATGACGTGTAACGGCAGATTAATCACCTAAGAATTCAGTAAGATAGATTTGGGTGTAAACCCAAGTTGCCTTAAGGAAAATAAATTCTACGTTTCATCTAACGTTGAATACATGAACCATCATTTCTCCCCACCTCATGTACAGTTTGGTTACTGTCTGTGGAGCTGAAGAATGGTGATAATCTCAGAAGAGTGAAGACTCAAAGAATAAGAGACACACTTGGGTGGAGAGAAACAAATCCTGCTCATGTCAGGCATTCGGCCAACACTCTCAGATACAAAAGCCAATCGTTGTAGAAGCTCATATCAACTACACGTGATAACCAACCGAGTTTCATGTAATAAAAATGAGCAAGTAAGAATCATTAGCCATTTTTAAACTATGAAAGAGAAATATTTAAATAAAAAGAAAAATTAACTGGTGGGGAACAAGATCATCTTGGAAGAAGAACTTTTTACAGTATTGTAAGTACTGTAAAAAAGATTCATGAATACATCTATTCATAAACTAGAACAAACAAAAGTCACAGTAAGATTAAAATTCCCCAAATTAAGAACAAATATTATATCTTTTATTTGGGGGGAAAAATACTGAGAAAGTTTCCAAAATAGAAAGCAATAAAACCAACAGGTGATGGCTATGGGATATAAGAATGGAATGTGAATCGAATGGCTGCAAGGTGCACCTAGGAAGCCTCTTTAGTGACAGCCATCAAAGGCAGTAAGGGTGGTGAGGTAGTCTCTCAAGCCCAGGGCATGGCCCTTTGGAGGGCTTAGGGAGTTTTGTTCAGGACAGATGAGAGATGACCCACAAACACATCCTCACGAGGGCTTAGAACAGCACAACGCACGCTGCTTCTCACCCTCGCTGCGCTGCCTGCTTTCCCTGATGTCTATGATGTATGGACATGTGAATCTGGAAGGATTTGGTATGTTTCCTGGTGATATTTTGTTTGTGTTTTAACAAATAAAGCTTGCCTGAAGATCAGAGTACAGAGCTAAACCACTGGAGGCCAGGCAGTGGTGGCACACACCCTTAATCCCAGGATTTGGGAGACAGAGGCAGAGGGATCTCTGCTACTTCAAGGCTACCCTTGGCTACAAGAAATTGATCCCGTCTAAAAGAGGAACAGAGCACACACAAAAGGTGATCCTAGCACTTGGGATCCCTCGCTTTTAACCCCAGCACTAGGGAGGTGGAAACAGGAGTGATGTGGCTGAGTGGAGACAAGAATATCAGGTGGGAGGAGACAGGAGTTCACATGGAATCTAAGGAAACCCTCAATCTGAGGAGCAATCAGTGGAGACAGTCTGAGGACAGGATTGCCCCTTCCATCTAAGCATTGGTAGAGATAAAAGGTCTCTAGTGGCTGGCTGTACTGCTTCTCTAATTTCTCAGTTTTTGCTCGCTAATATCTGACTCCAAGTTTTTATTAAGTTTGAACAATTAAAATTAATGCTACAATGTTTAAAAAGAATATATTCTCACATTTTGAAGAATTTGCCATCTTTGCCTAGTTCCTTTCTCTCAAGAGCTCTTATCAAAAGCAATACACTTATGAAGAACACACTGAAATAAACTGGAGAGATGGCCCCATGGTTAAGAAAACTGGATGCTCTTCCAGTAGACCCCAGTTTTGTTCTCAGCACCCACGTGGCAACTCACGACTGTCTGTAACTCCAGTCCAGGAATGCAATTCTCTCTTCTGGCCTCCTCAGGCATGTGCACACATGCAGTACCCATGTACACATGCAAGCTAAACACTCATACACATAAAGTATAACTTTGAAAATTTTTTAAAAGAACACACTGATGCCTCCTGTCTATTGGTATAAGCATTGCATATTCAAAAGTAAACAATATATAAGATTTGAAGATTGATTTTACATTATAAGCAATTAAAATATGAAAGACATATTTGCTATGTTAAATATAGGTTCTATATATGTGTTAAAATGCAAAAATAATTACAGTGAATCACAGGAAGCAGATTTGGAAAAAATAAAGGCCCAAAACCTAATATGCTCTCATAACGTAGAAAATGACAAAGCATAGGCAAGAACTGATAGATCACAGAATACAATTTTGATGAAGGTAAAAAGCAGAATGTTTTAAATCTGTGTGATAGAGATTAGAGTAAGGGACAGGAACAAATGATGGTTAAAATTCACACTTGCAACAGAAGAAAATAAATATATTAACAAATAAAGGATATGCATAGTATTTAAAATTTCACAGAGTGGTTTAATATAATCACCTGATGAGTGACAATGAAGGAAAATGTAATGAGCCATTGACCAGCCTCTTTGATGGCTGCATTGTTGTTACGGGTATGCATTGCTATTACAGTATTTCAGTGAACAAACACATAAAAATTAATGAATGATAAGCAAATAACAATCTATTTATATGTTATATTTGAGAAAATTTATATAAGGAGACCACAAACATTTGTCTCCCTCCTGTATAAAGTAATATAAAGGATACAAAGTGACCTGGGGTATATTAGAGCAATCTTTGTATTCAAGCCATTGAATCAGTAGATCGGTTAACCACTATTCTGTCTAAATATGCTGATAGCTGCACAGACATGAAATAAAGAATTCTATAGCAATCTTTCACACGGAGAACAAAAGAGCTCATGTACTGACACACTGTAATTTATCTGGCTGAAGCACTGCAGTTTTGAACTAAGTAAATATTTCCATTGTCCTAACACTACCTCTCGTCCTACTTTGAAGTTTATAAACATGGCACTATTTTTACCTTGAATAATGCATGGCTTGGTGGCCTGCGATATTAAAATAGAAGTCTGTTGTGTGCTTGATTTCGTTGGTGTGCCCGGTGGCCTCAATCCAATGTCCTACTGGGAGACAGTAAACACCATCCACCAAGTTGTTTTCATTATATGTACAGCAACGGTCATGGTGAGGTCCGTTTCCTAGAACAAGAAGTAACACACAGCAATTAAGTCAGTGCTTTGCTTAGGCAACCTTGAAATGACTGGGACAAAATTAATCGTAAGACAAAAATAAACATAAAGTAGTTTAGTTGCAAAACGAAACAGACTAGAGTCAAAGTGGGCATTTGTAAAATGCCTTATGAAAATCTAGGTGTCTGTGTTCCCTCTGAGTACATAAGTTTTAATAAAAAGCTGCTTACTAACTCTTTCAGACTCCATTGACCCACACAGTGCCCTACAACAAGCTATGGCTCATTTTATAGCCCAATAACTATTTGAAACGGTTTAATAGTCATTAATATGCCTGAATTCCTTGTTATCTTTATGGTATGCAAATGAACTATTCAGGTCAGAAATAAAGTATCTTAGTGCCAATGCAAATAGTAAATACAGAAGTGAACACATAAATAAATAGTAAAATAAATGATCACAGGCAATTTAATTCACAGGCAAAATGTGGATTAGTGTTTCCTATAGATGAGGAAACTACGTCTCGCAGAGGTTAATTAGCTTACCTAAGCCCGCTGAACTTCTAAACTTGTGGATTATTAAACTGACTCCCACTGGACCCTCTCTTTTAGGGGCTGATGCCCTCCTGCTAATCCATGCCCCCTTCATATGCACAAAAGATACAAGCTCCTCCTTCCCAATGTCATAGGGCAAAGGAGAAACAGAAAAACATGTCTCTAAAAGCACCATTTGCTTACGTTGCAGTTTTTTCCAATATCAGCCACACTACGACCTGAATGCCTCTGTCACCCCTGGAGTCCCATGCTGAAGCTCCCCCATTCCTTCTCCATATAAGATCACAGCAATTGGATGCTATCTGTGAACCGAAAAGCAAGCCTTTGGGGCTGGAGAGATGGCTCAGGGGTTAAGAGCACTGGTGGTTCATCCAGAGGACCTGGGTTCACTTCCCAGCACCTACATGGCAGCTTACAACTGCTGGTAACTCTACCTCCAGGGGATCTGACACCCTCGCAAAATAACAATGCACAGACAGTAAAAATAAATAAATCATTTTTAAAAAAGCAAAAAACAAACAAACAACAAAAAGCAAGCCTTCACCAGATGCTGACTATCCCTTCATCCTGCTTTTCCCTACCCTCAGAATGCTGAGAAATATATTTCTGGTTTAATCAAATCCCTCAGACTATGGAATTTATTACAGTGGGGCATATAAGAACTGAATCCTTTATTCCTATGAAGATTAAAATTCATACTATATTATAATTAGAACTTACATGCTCATCTTCTTTCAAATTATCTCCTTTCTTATCCGACCTATTATATATTATCAATAAAACAAATGTCTGTGATGTGTAGGAATAAATTATACATGTTATGCATATAAAAATGTTGAATCACTTGCTACTTTTCAGCTGAAAGTTGCTTAGCATAAAACTGGAAAACACTCCTTAACTAGTAGCTGACTCTCTAGATTATAACTGCCTCTTTTCAGTTAAGAGACAGAATTACTCACTTAATAAATCATTACTGATCTTCCTAGACAAGACTCTGCTCTTTTCTCTTGATGACTAAAAAGCACTACACCATCTGTCCACTGAGTACCTTGATATTTGGTAGATAATATTCAAATAGACCAGCAACTCAACTTCGACAGGTATATCCAACAGAAAAGTGCACATAGCAGTACTATCTTAACAGCAAGTGCTGCAATGATATTACTCCTTCAATAAATATTTTAGGTAGGTACTGTACAAAGCCATAGTAAGGACTTAGATATTTAACTTAAGAGCAATTAAAATTTTCCAGCGTTATGAGCCATATGATAAGACCACACTGTTATTCTGAAATGACTCTCTGAATATAGTGAGAAATTAATTCTGGAACAATGAAGTTGAGAGTTCAGGAGCTTGGTCAATGGCTCAGTCAGTAAAGTACCTACTTTGTCAAGCATGAGAAGCTGAGTTTGCTCCTGAGAGCTCATATAAAGAGCTGGCACAGCAGCGCATGATGTAATCTCAAAGCTGGGGAGACAGAGACGGGTGGGTCCTTGGGGCCCACACGTAGCCTGTTTGGTGAACTCCAGGCAAATGAGAGACCCAGTATCAAAAATGAGGTGTATTGTGCCCGAAGAATGACATCTGAAGTTGTTTTCTGGTTTCTACACACATACACATACATGTACATTTGCTCCCACAAATGAATATCTGAACATATACTCACATGTGTACACACACACAAGGGTATGCCCACAAAGTAGTGAGTCCGTTTAGAAAAGCCTGCATTATTAGATTAGGAATGTGATGAGAGAATATGACTGGTAGAAACAAAAAAGATTGGGTATACTCAGAAGATAAAAACTACTAGACTTTTAAATAATCAGACATGGACAGAGAAGAAGGCGGGGATCAATGAAGACCTTAAACTTTCAGTGAACACAGACTAGTACCACGTACTGAGAGGGAAGATCTAGAAGAGAACAGCTAGAGAGTAATGGATTACGGGTGCTACTCAGGTAGACAAAGGAGAATACCAAATAGAGCTGGAAAAAGGATTTGACACCCTGACTGAGGACATGGACTAAAAATAGCAAGCAGTCATTTTGGAAGAATGACATTTAGGCATATAGATGTGTCACTGGGAGAAATAATACATTCGCTCATTTGATGGCTGGGTAAGGAAAAGGACCTTACAGGGGCACAGGAAGAGAGACTTGAGGGAAGGAGTGGGAGAAAGTGAGGAGGAACAGCCTGAGGTAAAATTAAATGTAGACTAAAGCCAAGTGTGGTGTTAACAGTGGTCATATCTGGGAAGGAAAACTCGATGGGGGAAATTATCCTAAAGAATATGAAGAGCTGCAAAGGAAAAAGGACAAGTAACATATAAAGGTAAACCTGTTAGAATTACACCCCACTTCTCAATCCAGAAGGTCCTGGATAGATGTGCTGCAGACACTAAGAGACCCGGATGTAAGCCCAGCCTATTATATCCAGCAAAACTTTCAATCACCATCGATGGAGGAAAAAAAGACATTCCATGACAAAAAAAAAAAAAAGATTTAAACAATACATATCCACAAACCCAGCCCTACAGAAAACATTAGAAGGAAACAGACAAGATCACCTGACAAAATTGGCAGTGTGTGTGGGTGTGGGGAGAAGGGAGGGTGGAAGGGGAAGAGAAGGGGTGAAGGGGAGGGTTGAGGAGAACTTAAAAAAATGGGATAGTTGAGATGAATGAAAAACAGAGATGAGAGCAAGGAAAGAGTTATTTTGATTGAGAAAGCCATTATAGGGTTAGCAGAAACCTGGCTCTAGAGAAATCCCAGGATCCACAAGGATGACCCCAGCTAAGATCCTAAGCAATAGAGGGGGCCCAATCTTGACTTAGGCTGTAGTCAAGCTGATGAATATCTTAAATATTACCATAGAACCTTCATCCAGCAACTGATGGAAACAGAGGCAGAGACCCACATCGGAGCACTGGACTGAGCTCCCAAAGGCCAGCTGAAGAGTGGGAGGAATGAGAATATGAGCAAAGAGGTCAAGACCTTGATGGAGACACTAACTGAAACAGCTTACCTGAGCTAATGGGAGCTCACCAACCACAGCTGGACTGGGAAGGAACAAGCAAAGGACCAAATTTGTCCCTCTGAATGTGGCTGACAGTTGTATGGCTGGGGCAGACTGAGGGGCCACAGGCAATGACACTGGGATTTATCCCTAGTGCATGTACTGGTGTTTTGGAAACCTATTCTCTTTGGATGGATACCTTGCTTAGCCTAGATATAGTAAGGAGAGCCTTGTACCTTCCCCAAAGCAATGTGCCTTACCCTCCCTGAGGATTGGATGGGGATGGGGTGGGACGTGTGTGGAGGGAATGGGAGGAGGGGAGGGAATGGAAACTTGGATTGGTATTTTTTGAAAATCTAATAAAAAATTTAAAATTAATGAATAACTCATTCTTAGAAGCATCCAATATTTTATTATCTTAATAAAAGAATATATATTTACAACTGATGATAATAATAGACTTATGAGGACTTAAACAATACTTCTTAAATACACATAATTATTGAGAAACTAAAATATAAATAAATTATAATGTTCGATAGAAATTCTAGCTATTACCTTCAAAAGAATTTTCACTGTTAAAATTTGTTTTTGGCATAAACATTTTTATGTATATATGTTTTAGACAATTTTACAGCAGATTTTTATGCCTCACAACCTATGCTATAAAAATTAGATTACAGTAATTAGAGCATCATTTAGAATAGAGTCATTGTTTTTTTTTTTTAATTTGGCCAAGGAAATGCCAAACAGTAGTGACAAATTTTATTTGGTGGAATTTCTACATTCAGGATTACAGAGCAGATTTTATTTGTTCCTTTTCCTTCCAGAACTGGGCATTTAATGCACACCAACATAAGATAACTTAGAAGAACAAGGAGCAGAATAAACCACCGTGAGACTCTGGAGCACAAGGGACAGCCCATTCTTGGCTTCTGTGTTGCATTCTTTGGTTTTCATACCCCAGGCTTGGGTCTGAAAAGGCAGTGACTGCTGGCACCAACAGGTACAGGCAAGAGGAATACAACAGCAGACCTGCAGCAAGGAAAGCAGAGGGAGGGCTCAGAAACGCAGGCCTCTTTCTTGTATGTGTGCACACAAATCTGAATTAAGTGTGTTGTACGTTAGTCTACATTCATGAGTTGTTATGTTTGTATACATGAACTGTGTCTGTACATATGTGCTGCAGGTTTGCATATGTTTATGTGTGTTGTAAACATATTGTGTTTATATGTGTATTGTATGTTTACATGTGCATGTTATATGTGTGTTTATGTATGTATGTGTGCGTTATGTTTGTTCCCATGTATGTTGCATTGTGGAAATGTATGTGCATGTGCATGCACACTGGGTGCTTGTTATATGTTTGTTGTATGTTTGCATATGTGTTCATGTGTATGTTACATATTCGTTTGTGTTGTGTGTTTATCTACACGTGTG